TTTTAAGTCTTTACTAAGTGCCTCTTGGCCATGCACATAGCAATAAATAGCTCAGCTTTCTCATCAGATGGACAATGAAGCTTGGGCAGTCTGGGAAAGATGGCATGATTTATGATCAATAATAATCTTTGCTTTTCTACTCCTAAAACACTAAAAATGGTACCTCTCTGGAAAGTACTCTCTTTTTAAAGAGAACAATCTACAACAAATTCGTTCTCCAAACTTTTTTTCTTAGGAAAGTTCTTCAGATATTTTTAACAGTATATTAACAAGTAGGTATAAAGTATAATTGGATAGTTAGTATATTAAGTAATCAATCAGTCTGATAATTTAGTAATAAACTGTTGTTTGCTTTCCTGAGAAATACTAAAATGTAAAGAAGTGACATAAGCACTCAAAGATAATGAAATTTGGGAGTAGCAGTTGGAAAGAGTCCTGTGTGCTGTATAATATACAGAACCAAAATTATGTGATCTGAGTCTCTAAAAAATGCAACAAATTCTTGGTCAAACTTGAGATAAGCAGAGAAAGGGATGATCGATTAAGCAATGACTTATTATTCAGCATTCACACAGCTGTGTCATTTCCTGTTGGCTTAAGAGTGAGGGCTAAGTCCACACAGAAGCAGTAAATCATGTTAGCATTAATGAGGACAAACAGGACCAAATGCTCCAACCCAGAACACAGCACTCTTACCACACAGTCTAGACAACTTATCAAGGCCCTTGACAGGGCAAACAGGCATACTTTCAAGAGAAAACAAAGAAAAGATGAGCAAGAGAACAAATTCTTCCCAAGTAACAAGCCCAATCTATTGAATTCTATGAACCTTCTTTACTCAATTCCTCTTTAACCACTCCCCCAAAATCCCCAAGCCAGGCCTCCTATTTTGTTGATGTTATACATGACCAATCGAGTGATCATCTGCTTTTGACCATTCCCCAAAACAAAAAAGACGACTGTGAAATTGACAGAGATATTTACAAGTTTTTTTTTGCCCTTACTCCTCATGATTTAAAACCATTTATGAAACATCACCTTACTAAATTTTCAAAGCGAATGTCCATGATGCATTTACATATTTTCTGACATAATCTCCATGTGCCTTCTGCACATTTTCTTGTTAGTTTTCTCTCTGCTTAGCTGATGATGCCTGTGAGTGACCTGTACTTTCTCCTTGTGGTGTACTTGTTTCTTCAAACACTTCTGCCAGAATCTGAAGACAGGCAGGCAACCATGAATAAACAATGAAGATTATGCCTTACAATATTCCAGTGTGAACTGAGATCTCCATGAACACACCCAACTTGGAAAGGGAGGTGTCTGTAGTGTATGTCTGAAGAGGAATGTAGGAAAGTATAGGGCATGTGACTTTCCTATTGTGTAACTTAAAGGAGGCAAATTTTATTGTCCTCATGTAAGGATGAAACTAAGGAAAAGAATTCAGTCAGTGTTTGCCTAAGGTCAGACAGTGCATTGGTTAAGTCTGGACTAAAACCCAAGTCCTTGACTTGTACTTCAGTACTCATAGAAAGAGCACAGAGCTGTTGTTTATCAGTCCTCTAAGGTCTCTAGATGGGGACTCTCTCAATTAATCCTCCCTCAAAGCTTGGAATCAACCCTCTTTGTGTTAGGGGAAGTGCAGTTTCTATGGGTGGAGGATATCTAGTAATTAAAATTAAGCAGTTATGAAAGAATTTCTAAGCTCAAATCTTTTAAGGCAGTGAATATCCATTATTAACAAGACATATAAAGAGGTTTGCTATTTGCTTTCTCTTCTCCTGATCTTTGGGGTAAATCAGAGAAAGGAGAGAGTACTAGGAAGACAAATAAAGACACAGAAAATATAACAAAAAGAAGGCCACTAGGTACTATATGATCCCCTAGATGGGGCTTTCCACCTTCCAAATGAATGTGTCTTAGGAGAAAAACCCTTTCATTTCAGTCTAACATTCCAGTGTATTTGTAGCCCATGTTCTCACTGAAGATGCGCAGTTTCATTAAGGTTGCATACCTTGTGAGTGACAGGTACAGACCATCCATTCATTCATCATTCCTTCATATAATCATGCCGCCACACTGCTCCAAACCCTCCTGTCACTAACTTCACATTGTCATTACAAGAAAATCCAGATTCCCGGCTCCAGTTTTTCAGCCCACACTCTTCCTTCTGTCTCCCACCCTGGCTATCCTACTTTAGTGGGCCTCAGTCAGTCTGGCCTTCCTTCTGTTTCTCCAACCTGCTAACTCATTCCCTCCATATTGCATTTCTGCTGTCTGTTCCCTACCTGGAGCATCTTTCTGCTGGACCTTCTCATGGTTCATTTGTCCTCATCATTAAACTCTTACCCTCCATACAGAGGCATGGACAAGACATAGGATCCAATCCCTGACAGTTTATGCTTTACTACGCCATCCTGTTTTTTATCCATACAGTTTAGTGCATTCATTCTTATTATGTACTTCTTCCCTATGTGCTGTTATCATTGTCTGGAATGTATACTCTGTGAGCAAAACGTTTACTGCTCTTTCTGCAGTTCCTAGAACTGTACCTGGCATATAGCAGGTACTTAATAAGTAATTGTGAAACTAAATGTTAGATCAATTAAAACACTATTAAATATATATATTATATATATTTATATATATATGTAAATATATATATAAATATAAATATATATATACTCCACACAGAGCACTAGAGATTAAAAAACCAAAAAGAAATGGTTCCCACCCTGGGAAGACTAAAGCTGGTGACTTCAGGGAGTTGGTTTTCCACTCTGTTATTCATCCATTCAATTTCACTCAGCAACTGACACATTCCTGGAGATTCAGGAAGTAACCATCCAAATATGATCCCAGATTATTTCTAAAAGTAACCATCCACTATGATCCCAGATTATTTATCAGTGAGGTGATTATGCTTCTTGTGTTGCCTGGTCTTTTTATATCCATGGTCCTGCCACAATCATTGGTAGTGTGCCCTTTTGTCTCAAAAGTATCCCAGTTTAGCTGATAAATTATGTGCTATCTTGTTATTGATTCTTAAAAGTAATAATGCTAGTGAAAGTGATTTAACACATTGAGCTACATCAATTCAGGAATATCTTTGAAAGCAGTAACTTCATAAGTTAAAAATATGAGAAAAGTCAGAATGAGCCCATTTTCTATTAGTAAGTCCACTAATGAAGCCAGAATTTGTCAAGATATGTTCAGTGGTCCTGGGAATAGTAAGTAAGAGTTATAGTGAAATAAAACATAGGTCAGGGTCTTTATTGTGCCAGAAACTGCTCTGCAAACTTCATTCCTTCATAAATACTATTATGACTCCTATTATATAAAAATTGAGGCTTTACAGAGATTAAATGATTCATCCAATTTCCATATCCAGAATATGTGGCCCTCAGGACTCAAATATTCTTCTTTGTGATCTCCTGCCCCACCATTGTGCCCATTGCTTCCTGAATAATGAAGTAAATAATCTGATAGAACTCTCCTGTGCTTAAGTAGGATTGGGAAATGCTAGGTTAAACCAGGTTAAGTAATCTGTAAGTTTCTATTAGGCTTTTCAATGTCTGTAACATATCAAAGTGTTCAGTAAGTCTTCAAGGACAGATATGGACGCATGTCTCTCTCACTAGCTGGCCGGGCAGAGTGGGTCAATGTTCTTCAGATCAAACTTTGGCAAATGATTCCATAAGAACCCCACAAGTCCAGCTATGCCTTTGTCATTGTCAGTCCTTCACCTGTGTAAAATAATCCACATACTGAGTCAAGGTCAAGGTTCAGCTCTCAAAGGAAGAGGACACCAGGCCTGGATCCTCTGAGCTTCATGGTCCTGGCTGCCCACTGCTTGCATTTGTGCTTTTAATCACCCTTCACTGTGCCTTTTTCCTCCCCATACTGAACCCCCATACACACCTCAATTTCTTATTCTCAAACCTATCAGTTTCCATAGGGGGAATCTGTAAGTTAATTTGAGCCAGTGTCCTTACTACAATCTAATAACTGAAGCCTCCTGGCAACGTGGGATACAGGCCATGAAGATGATGCTCTCCTAGAAGAAAAAAGAACAGATGGGTGAACTATTTTGGTGCTAAGACTTGCTGGGAGGTAAAGTTGGAAGGCTAGATGTATGGATGTGGAGGAGAGCTGGAGAGCTGGAGGTTGTGCATGAGTTTTTCAGCTGCAGATTAGTGTGCCTTCAGAATCCAGCGGGGAGTGTTTTGATTCCGGGGAGGTACACGCTACAAATAAAGGAATAAAAGGGCAATATCAGAATCCCTTCTGCCCAGTCCTCACTTCAAGTGTGTGTGCACAAGTGGCCAAACTGTGTGTTTGGGCCTTTGACACTCACTTGTAAGCACCTTCTACTTCTCTTATTTCTCTCTTCCCACCCCTCTACCCACTCCTGAAAGCCTTTCTTCCTCTTCTAGAATGACTGAAACTGACAGGTTTCAGAATCAGTCTACCACAGTGACCCAGGCAAGCCAGTTCTTGCATCTGAAATAACCTGGCTTATTAGCTACTGCTCCACCGCCTATGTACCTGCTACAACCCCCACACACCACACGCACACACATTTTTTTTTATTTTTGATACAACCCTTCTGCACCCAAGATTTGCTTCCTGTGTCTTAGAACTATGTCTTGACATGAGCCAGAAATCTTTTTGTTTTCACAAATGTTCCTGAAGCTTCTGAGAAAAGCTACAAAAATATTTTCCAATGAATTCCATACAAATCAATACGCACAGGTACCAGTTTTCCCTCTCCTCCTGGACGTGTTCAGTCCCATCCATCAGCAAACTGCGTTTGGAGCCTTGACGTTGTCCCAGAGCCTCCGTCTGAAATTCATCCTGCACCGTACCCTAGAGGGCGTGCTGCTTACATTTTCCGCCAGCAACGCAACCGCGCTGGCTCCCAGGCTCCATAAAAGGGGAGGAGGCGGATCAGTTTCCTTCTCTCATTGAGAAAGAAGAGGATTGGAAGGCCGAGCGTATAAAGCCGCGCAGAGAGCGTGAAACAAAGCAGTCAGATCGGAATTGGACTTGGGAGGCGCGGTGTGGAGGGAGGCATAAAACTTGTTGGAGAGGAGTAACGAGCCGCCTCCTCTCGTTCTCATCTGCGCTGCGCTGCAGGGGTTCCCACCAGCCTTGCGATTTATTTTTATATGTTTTTTATATAGAGAAATATATATATTTTTTCCTCTTAAGAGAAAATTCCTGTTCCAAGAGAAAATAAGGCAACATCAATGAAGGAGAGAAGAGCTAGCCAGAAATTATCCAGTAAATCTATCATGGATCCGAATCAGAACGTGAAATGCAAGATAGTAGTGGTGGGAGACAGCCAGTGTGGGAAAACAGCGCTGCTGCACGTCTTCGCCAAGGATTGCTTCCCCGAGGTGAGTGTGGCCGGACCGGCTTGGAGGGGGGCGGCTTGCGGTGTTCCCCCCTCCCCCTCCACCGACTCCCGTCTCGAGCTGAGCCTGCTCTGGATTCTGCTCCTGCTCCTTCACTACTCGTTTTTCCTTTTTGAAGTCGTCTTCCTCGCCCCTTGCTACTTTCCTCCCGGTCGCCCTGCTGGGAAAGGGAAAGTGCGCTGGAAGCGTGTGGGATTGGGACGCGCCAGCACACTGGGCTGTTAGCTGCTGAAACTTGCTGGTTGCTATGTGCAGAGCCTAGGGTAGGGTGACTGGGGTCGGCACGTCTGCTAGAGTCGGGCGGAAATTCCCAAAGGGCCTGCGTGCCTAGTGTGTAGTTTTTTTTGAGGATCAGGGAGGGCGACTTTTAGTGGATTTCGTGTATTTTATAAAATAACCTCATTGCTCCCTGTCCTTTCTCTTCTGTCCATTTTGTTTATCCAGAATTACGTCCCTACAGTGTTTGAAAATTACACGGCCAGTTTTGAAATCGACACACAAAGAATAGAATTGAGCCTGTGGGACACTTCGGGTAAGAGTCCAGAGACCGCGTGGCGCTTGGGGCGGGCTTCCAGCCGCTGGTGGGGTGCGCGGCGGGTCGGGACCCAGCGCACCACAGCTCTCGGGGGCCCATCCATTAATTTTGCCCTTGGGAGGATTCCCACGTCCCCGCTGGGTGAAAATTTTATCCTTCCTGGGTGGGGGCGGGAGACGACAGCGGGATTTTGTGGGGGAGGATGAGGGGGTGGCCGTGGGGAGAACAGGGCGCTGTGTGCCTGGAGGGTGACCCGGCGGAGGGAGCCGCCTGTGGCCTGGTGGTCCGACGCGGTCTGTCCTTGGGACGGTGCCCTAGTCGCCTCGGGCGGTGAAGGAGGCAGGATGAGAGGGGAGGGCGAGGAACACCTGGCTCGCGGCTGGGGGTCCTCCCGGGTCTGACCGGCTGTTCGGCTGGGGGAGGGGAGCGCAGGCGGCGGCGGTGGGAGGTGGGAGAAAATCCCCGAAGCGACGCGGTTCCGTGCGGATTCCGGGCTGGGAGGGGGGATGAAGTGAAGGCGGCAGCCGGCGCCCGTGACGCCTCTTGCCTGGAATGCGCTGGCGGCGCGGGCAGCGCAGGGGCCGCGGGGCCTCCTCCTCGCGCCGCCCTCGCTGCCGCTGCGCCCTCCTGCGTGCAGCCGCCCCCTTGCCCTCCCAGCGCTGGATCATGCGGTCCCCCTGTCCACACCAGACCTTACCCCTATTGCATCACCCTCCGCCTGCCTGCAGGGCCGCGGGCAGCACTATTCGCCTTTGACCTTCCCGTCTACTTGAATTATTGGCTCCGTGGTGGGTTATTTTCAAAGGTCTGCCGTTCAAGGCCAGTTTATTGCTTTCCCATGTGCCCACCCACCTGGCGCACGGTGGCGGGGAGGGTCAAATACCCGTGGGTGGGAAGGCTTCCAGCCTCCGCTGACTTAGGGGTTTGGGCAGTGGGGGCGGGGCACCATCTGGAATCTGGGGTGGGGACCCAAACACCGGCTGTCTTGATGAGCCTTGCCCGGCGGCGAGGGAGTGCTGTTTGCAAAGAGGGTGACTTCTCTGGAGGCGCAGGAGCCACACCAGGCGGGAACGTAAAAGCCCTTGCGCGTAGGGAGCTGGACTGCTGGTGGACCAAGCCCAATCCCGGCGAAACTAGCGAGGAGGAGCGCACAAGTGCCAACTAGCAGGTTTTGCTGGCAGGCAGGGTGGCCCGAGGTGGGGCCGTGCTCAGCTGGGAGCGGCCTTGAGGTGATTTTGAGAGCTTCCCACAATCCTGTGCTTGAACTTGGGGAGCCCCCAGGGACATGGGGCTGTGGGGGGGTGTTAGCGAGCAGGAGGACGGGGCCAGACAGACAAGGTCGCCAGAGGCATGCCTTGCACAAAGGCAAGGTAAGAAGTCTCTCGCACTAGCGCCTCTCACGGTCTGTGCCAGGTGCTCTTGCTGCAGCAGTGAGAAGGTACATATAGTTTCCCCTGGAGAGGAGGCTCTTCCTTGAGCCGCACCAGCAGAACCAGGAACTAGCCAGGTTTTGTGTTTTGTGTTGGGTTGCACACACACTCGATTCTGTAGAGGAGATGTTGATGAACAGAATTCTAGTGGATTCTTACTTAAGTAGTTGCTGTCTTCAGATTTATTACACAGCCTTGTATTTAATGGGCTCCAATTCCCAGACATACCATGGTAATTGTTATGCCTAGTGGGCAGGAAAGCTGGTGTGGTACCAGTAATTAGCACCGGTACTCACTCCCCCATCCAGCCCTGTTTGGATCTGATGCTTGGTTAAAATTATTTAGGCTGGGGTGGGGCAGTGGGTCTGATCCGGTCATGGATACAAAGCTGTGTTTAAATCTTAGCGCCTGGTTACCACAGATTTCTGTTGCAAATCTTCTACCTTCCTGGGTCTCACTTTCATCATCCAATTAAAAGGAGGAACTGAGCTAGGAATGTACAGGATCTGTCCCAGCTGCACACTTCTTGGCTTTAGTGTCCCGACAGGCAAATCTTTTTTTGTTTCCCAGGATCCCAGGATGTTGGTTGGCTTAGCTCTTAGTCTCAGTGGATCTGGCATTCCACACGGGGTTTTCACAACCTACCAAAGCTAGCTGGGTTCTGGGCAGAGCCAGCATCCTGGTGGATTTAGGAATGAGAGACTCGTTTACATAAGGAGGGGGATGAGTGGGCTTATAGAAATGCTGGTTATGCATCCCTGTCTCCAGCTTCTTCAAGGGTCACAGGACCACCAACAGAGAGTTTTATATTAGGGGTCCAAAGGGCAAAATTGCCTTTTTTTTTTTTAAGGAGAGAAAAGACACATCACTTTTCAAAGGCTAGTAAATAAAACAAACAAAATGTAAACAGTTTATATTTGGAAGCTGTCCTTCCTACATGCAGATAAATATCACTTCAGGTATGTTCAAGCATTTAATCAAAATTCTGCATTCATAGCCTCTGCACACATAGCAGAATGCCTTGCACACAGTAGTCACGCAATAAAATCTGATGCATGAGCAAATGAATAATGATATGCACAGTTTCCAAGGAGATGAGGTTTCCTGACATTACCACTGAATTACCTGTGCTCTAAGAATGGCAACTTCATAAATATTGCCTTTCATCAAATTAAAGATAATCACCTGAAATGAAGTCAGCAGTGAAATAATCACTTGTATTTTTATTTAATGAAACAAAAACCTGTGCATGTTTCACTAAAATATAAAGGTTTGGAAACCATGATTACAAAAGTATTGTACTGTAATTCAATCCAGTGATGAAATCTTAATTAGGATTTAGATTTATACAAATGGAAAAAGAGACATAAGGGAATTATTTAGAATTCCGTTATGTTGTTTGTGAGGTGAGATGTTAACTAATTAAACACAGTCACCGAGCACTGCTTAAATTCTAAGAATAACTTGCTTCTACCAAAAGTGTCTTGTCATTCATGAATGAAATCCATCTAGCAGGAACTGTCACATCAGCAAATAATCATTTGAAGTATCTTTTAACATTTTTTATCATAAACTTTTCATGGCAAATTTCTGAACCAGTTTAATTTTTTGACAATTGCTTGACATTTTCTTCGCCCACAAAGACCTTTGCTTAGTTCGGGTTGTGAAAATAATTGCATATACCTTATGCTTCTAGATACGTTTATTTTTCCAAACTGCTCTCATTTATCCCTGGAGGGAAGGTCCAAGCCAAGTCTATAGAGTTGTAAATGTCTCCCCCCACCCCGACTTTGTGAATTAGATTTCTATTAAAAAATTGGGTGTGCAAAACTTCTCTTACATAAAGTAAGAGACAGCATGAAGTTTGTCCTTTGGGTGGTTTTCCTGTTCCATTCAGCCTCCCCAGCAGAGGGGCAACCATTTAGGAGACAGAAGCAATTGGGCTGCATCTCATAAGGGATCTTCTGTTTTCCCCCAGCAGTCATCATCATGCACAAGTAAAATGAACTGAAAGTAGGATATGTGGGGTCTCTGCACCAAGAGATAAGGAAATCATTCATTTACTACCCTTGAGGCCCAGAAACTTAACATTTTCTGCCTTTTCCCCTCTCTTCTTTCTGCATCTACTATGAGCAGAAATTCTCTGAAAGATTTTTCGTACTCACTCAAATGCCAAACAGTTGGCAATGGTTTCAACATTTTAAAGTGATAAGTGAGACCAAAGTAGTTCTAATATCTTGTGCTTCAGAATCTGCCACATTTGCCAAACGTAGAGGCAATTTGTAGCATGCAGCCAGATGCCTACTAACAATAGAAACTTAGCCATTTAAGGATAGCCATATCTCTTCCTAGGAGATTTGATTGCAGTGTAATTTCAGCACATGTGATGTAGGGAGTAGTAGTCGTTCATGCCAGCTTTTAACCAGGGCAAGTTAATGCACATTTTATTTCAGGCATATTATTAGTTTTAAAATGTTCCACTCAGCTGCTAAAATTCCCCATGATAACTATGCTATTGCCTCATGAGCACTCTTTGGAATCTTATCATGATACAAGCTGGTTTAGGCCCTGAGTGCAAAAGTTAGCACTTCTTTATTGGCGTTTGGCATTATTAACAAAGAATATAGTATTCCTTAAATTTTATATTTAAAGCAACAAAGAGGAATGAAAAATCTTTGTTATCTTCTGGCTTTCCTTTGAGAGCAAACGCCTCTATAAACATAAATCTATCTACATTGTTATAGCTTATTTACATGTCAAATTTGAAGAATGGTCTTGGTGACAAGTGTGCTAATGAAATATTTCCTAGCAAGAATGGAAATGTTTCAGCCATTTTAGAGATTAGTATACAATTAATCCAGAAAAGCAGCTTAAAAAGAGATCACTGGTCCTGTTTTTTGTGATTTAGCATATACCTGCACACATCTGGGCAAGACTCAGAGACATGCTCACATAGCCAGTCAACCTGTTTTAGGGGATTCTGTCTGCATACACTGCTGGTGCCGTGGGAAGGGGCTGGAGGTACAAACCTAGCTTGAGCAGCTTCTTCCCCCAATGTACTCACAGTCTAGTTAGGGTGACAAGACAAACAAAAATGCTTTCCCAAAATAACATAAGAATTTAGGTGAGGAGCCCAGAGTAAGTGTCAGGAGCTTAGATGGAAAGAAATGCTTATGGATTCAAACAAGGGCAAGGAGTTCTTTCTGGGCATTTTTCATAGGACAAAGGGGCGGAGCATGGACAAGGAAATCCTTGTCCTGGAAGTGCAAACACTGGATTCACCCAGCAGCGATAAGATCCAGAGTAGTTGAAGGCCACACGGCCTGCCTAGGCCTTGAGTCAGATCTTCCTGCTCACTTAAGCCACCACAATTCCTTTCCTTCTCTAAAAGTTCTTCAGAAGTCTTTAACAGCTCTCCTACTTGGAAACTTGCTTACATTTCATGGTGACCAGGGAATACAAGATTCTGAAACTTGAGATTTCCAACTTAACTTTCTCAGAGAAAAGGACAGACAAGAATTTCCAAGGGAGCCAGAGGAGCAAGGGTGCTTGTGATGTGAAGGTCAA